GGCTGGGAGGGCGGGGGGCGTGGGCGTTCTGGCGCGGCCGAGACCGGGGCTGGGAACCGGGTGACCCGAGCGAGCCGCGGCGGGGTGCGGGCGGCAGGGTCTGTGGGATGCGGGTAGCCCTGCGCCGTGTCCCGGAGGGTGTTCCGGCAGTGGGGCGGGGGCCCTGCGAAACGGCCCTGCTACCGAGCCCGTCGGGTAATTGTTAAATGAATGAATGAGTGAATAAGAGCCCGTGAGGGCGGTAGCGGTTGTGAAGGGCCTGGTCGCCTCAGCGTGACAAGGACAGCGGTACCGGGGCCTGCCTGTGCACCTGTGTCCCTACCGGCTTGCTGCGATTTTAACAATTCCGATCATACAGCTACGCCCTTACGCCTGCTCGCTCTCTCAAAAGGTGTCAGAGTTCAGGTATCTTTCCAGCTTGGAAGGTTTGGGGGACCAATACAATAGCCAGCAGTTTAGGTTAAGCAGGCCTTGGTACTTTAAGGTGGGGGCTCGGTAAACTAGATGAGTACTTTTTAGCTCTTAACCAGCCTTTGGCTGTTGAGATAGTTACCCTGCAATTGAGGTAATTGTCAGGCAGGATTTAAATGTATCCCGTTTTGTATCTGGGATAGAAAATGATGAAAATGTCGACAGAGTGGCTACTGTGTGTTAGAAAACATATTCACGTTGATAAATCTCCACAAATGAGTTTTTCTCATAAAACATCAATAGAAGGTGAAGTAGTTTTTGCAGAACTTGCCCCAAATTTATGCGTGGCTCTAATTTAATTCTCATGGGAACCAAGGCATCAAATCTTGGCCCAGAAAGTCTGCCTGTCTTATTTTATACATAATTACAATAATTGAAAACTCATTTTTGGAGAAGTGAACTACTCCTATCTCCATTTTCATTACCCTGAAAAGTCCTTCTTTGACCTAAAGAGCCAATAAATTAAGCTACCAGTCCTTTGAAAATTTTAAGAAGTCTAAAAGATTTGGACTTTTCTTAAGTGACTGGAAAAACTAATGTTTTTATAAAATGTAATGATACAGAAAAGGTGAAATTGTTTTATTTTGCCAATGTAAATTAAACCTAGCTGGTAAACTCATGAGAAAAAAATATATACAAGTATTTAAACTTTGTTCATTAGGCAATGGCAAGCAAAGGTAGTCCATAACAATATACCTTATACTTTATTACTTTTAAGGTTTCAATCATCAACTTTGAGTTATGAACAGTGGTATAGCGAGCCGACAGCTCAATTTAGCAGCCGAGTTTTAATTGCAGTAAGTTTGAGTACCTTAATATTATGAACACTGTTCTAGGTTTTGAGGAGGCAATTAAAATAATAAACATCTTTGACAATGCCTTAGGATATTGTTAAAAATCTTGATGAGGAATGAAAACTTTTCTTTATATTGGAGTAAAGCCAGGCTCTCTTAGGCTCCTTTGACATAAGGGAGTCTAATTCGTTCATTCAACAAATATTGAGATTGATGCCTAAGGTGTGCTAAACATTGTTTTAGCTCTTGGGAGTACATTAGTGAACCAGAAAAAGACAAAGCCCTTACCTAAGGGAGTTTGACAATTTTCTCTCTCAGTTTGCTTCTATAATTCCTCTCGTCCA